TTGACTCCCGGACAATATGCTACGTGCTCCCATATTCTGAAAGAAACCTTTGCACTGACATCGGTGTGATATACCGGTAGGCTCTGCCCTTGAGGCGTATGCTAGTCTGCAGTCTCCACCTGACGAGCTGCATGTGCCAGACGGTCAACCCCAAAAAAAGCAAAGCCTGAGCGAGTGCCGGAAAATAGGAAATGTAGCTCAAAATAAGTGTTACTTATAGTACTTCCGGACCTCGGTGAAGACGAAGCTGGCTGCACGAAGCTGACGGCCTTTAATAGCTGAAGGAATCAAGCGGACAAATTCCGTCAGGTTGAACGCACTAGCTGCTGCATGCGAGGTGAGTCGCAGGTGTCCGTGACGCCCCGTACAGTTGTAGAGTCGCGGCACACAAAATCAAACGAATGCGGGGCTTCACTTGCAGTGGGGGGTCACATCAGCACAGTGGTGCCAACGCAAGCAGATTACAGTCAACAGGACAATGCTTCTGGCAGTCAGAGACCTGCTGACGCATACACATGGCATGAGCTTCAATTGCAGGAATACCTGATGCAATTCAGCCGAGTTTTGGGAAGGTGCTCAGATCAAAGCGGAAACGTACGTTTTCTGCAGCCACTACTTTAGCCGTCAGATGTCGACTTTGGGAGTCCTCAACTACGTCAACTAAGACCTTAGTACGATCAACTGGCAGGACAAGGCTTGGACCGCACACTAGGACACTGAACCAACCGGACAGCCTTAAGCGGTTAGGGGCCCGCTATTTCGGTCCACAAGGGAGATTTCAAGTTCCGGGTTAGAAACGCGGTTTCCGATTTCCGGTCAAAACCCTACTGGGTCAGCGCGGCCACAGAATTTGCTAGCTGGACTAGAGTACTACTAAGGCTGACCGGACTGACTGACTGACTACCTAACTGCAGTCGGTTGGGTTGCAAAGACATCCTAACCATCCAACCTGACTGACCTCCTAACCAAACTGCATTGAGCCCACCCCTGGCCTGACCGACTGACCGCCTAACCGGTGCACTCTTGGCACCGATTAAATAGCCCGGTCAGAAAGGTACAAACGGTGGAGAGGGGGGGTAGGCGGGTGGGGGCCGAAGGCCGGGGTGGTCATGCTTGGGACACACCCCATAGACGATTTAAAGGTGAATATCATTTTTTTACACCAACAAGATCATTCCCGGGGGACGGGTGGGGTAGGCTTGGTGGTTAGGGTGGGTTCGGGTGCGGAGCGACTCTCTTATTATCCCGGTTAGGTGTTTTAGTTTGGCCGTTCCATCGTGTACTATAATATGGTAAATACATGGATACGGAATGCACAGAATAAAGTTATAACATATTAGCGGAATGAAGTTACAACTTACAGCTGTGGTCACCGGTAAAGGTGCACAGGGTACAGTCTTCTGTACATGCACGTAGTACCTACGGTATTGCCAGCGGTACCGTACGGTTCTTCCGATAGTCAGCCTGTCAGTCAGTCAGGCTAGTTAGGCTAATAGAGTTTTAATCGGGAGTCGGTCAGTCGGTTAGTCAGTCAGGCTGGTTAGGATTAGAGTATCCGCGAGCAGTCAGCCGGTCAGTCAGCCTGGCTAGTTAAGCCTACATGGAAACAGTCAGCGGGTCAGTCAGTCAGGTCGGTTAGTCCGCCGGGTGACTGAAGGTCTAGTCAGCCGGTCAGTCAGTCAGGCTGGTCAGGGCGGGGACGGTCAAGGCAGCGGTCAGGCAGTCAGTCGGTCAGCCAGTGGTCTAGACAGTCCCGGAACAGTGGGTCACACAGTGGGTCACGGGAACGGAAAACTTGAAATCTCCCCTGTGGACTAGATTAGCGTGGCGGTATAGCAGCGGTGGACCGGCGCCCTTGAGAAAATGGCCCTTGCTATAAAAGGAGAAGCGTTTGTCGATCGATGCAAGTCCTAAGGAGTCACATTTTGTACCTGCCCGGCTAATAAGTCCTCGATGGAGAGAACAGCATCTCCTAGCGTAATTGCACACCGACAACAAGCAAGCAAGACACAGCATTCTCACAGTTCCACACCCTGCCTTGCTGTGTCTTGTTTGCTTGTTGTCGGCACGGCGATAGGACGACAGTCTGCTCCGTCCTCTTAGCGCCAGCTGCTGCGCTCGTGTAGACTAGTCACCAGCTCGTCAGCCCTTCTCCGCGTTGCTTCTCCTCAAAAGTCAATCCTTAAGAACCTTACAATTCCAAAATGGCAGTCCGCATCGCTTCCGGCGGTGCGCTTCTGTTCGTCATAGCAGCACTGCCAGTGCTGGCTTTTGCGTTTGAAAGCCAAGGGGGAGGAAGAGCTGGGGGAAGCGGCACAGGGGGGGGGACGCAGATCGTCAGTTCCCTTTCTCCAGTCAGGGGGCTGCCAGCGCTAGCAATGGTACGTCAGGGGTAGGCCAGATTACCTCTGATCCGCTGCCCACTTTCCCCCCTAAGCCGGTTACAAACCCGTGCAACACCAACCCCATCCTCAAGGACGTGACCGGTGCCAAGTGCTTCGTTGTGTCTCTGGGGTCAATCCGATTGTGCAGGACTGAATTCGAAGGGGGACCCCCATCCCCACATCCTGTTGCTGGCACACGTGAACGAAAAGGGGCTCTACGTTGAGGACAAGCACGAATACTTTCCGTACCCGGCCTTTTCACCGCTTGTGTGCTGCCAGAAGTGCCGGAATGACCCGGACTGCGTCTACTGGAAAGTCGGCAAAAGCTCACACTCGGAGAATTGGCTCTGCATCACCATGTTGGGCGCGCAGTGCGCGAGCGGAGCTATCACGGGGTCGGCACCCCTCACTTCCGGCGACGACGTCCAAAACTATCTGCATGGATTCGACTGCCTCGCGGCGAAGAGCGTGCCCTGAAAGTGGCGGCACCTTCGAGCTGAATCGGAGAAGGTAAGCGAGCTAGGAACCAGTTGTTACCTTGCTTACCCGAGTCTTACTTCAAAACCTTTCTGTCTGATTGTTCCAAGTTGCGCGCTGAAGTCATCCTTATTCAAGGACCTTCAAAGAGCTGCTGAAGTTGTTTAGCTTCCTCTCATAGCAAACCGGCCCGGGGTTGCTAGCATGGTGTTTCTGAAGATGCTTAATTGACTATGGTGAATCGACATTCTCAGCAAAGAGCCCAGCTGAGTTTTCTCTGTGGTTTGAAGAGCACCGGCAGACATTCTTGAGCTGTACGGTTTGAACGCTATTCCGTTTGGCAACGCTTGACTTCGATCCAAGGGCGCCGGCGTTGCTATAGCCTTTTTGAATATATGACGACGAGTTTTGCAGGATTCTCGAACATCGAGACCAGCTTGCGCTTGCAACTGAACCTTGCATCATGCGAAGGCCGAAACTTTTCGTGCTGTTTTCTTACAGGGCCGCCTGGCTGGACTTGAGGAGTAAGATACGTGTACCGAATATTTTGACCATGGTAGAACCAGTGCACTTCCAAGTCTTATGCACGTTGGGCAAGAAATTACTGGAACGCTGCTATTTCTGCGGCTGATCACGCACGGAATTGTTAAGGTGGTAAGACGGTATTCGACAGTGGGAGCATGTTCAAAACCCTAAAACTTGATGTACCTAGAGTTCATGGATTTGCAATCCGTTTTTCC